GCAATATATGAAATATGAAGATTACTGGGAACACAGAGAAAGAACTGTGGCAATGTCCAGATTCTTCTGGGAGCACCTCGGGAGGCCTTGCAGAGCTGATTCCTTGTGAGCTTGGACTTGATTTTGAAGGGCAATGATGGAAAGAGTGGTGAGAATGGCGAGGGCACAGTCTCTAAGGCAGGAAAGGAGAGAGCAGGCTGAACAGAGGTTTGTATGGGAATTTAGGTGGGCATGGGGCAGCTTCCGCCCAGGTGGAGGAGGGAGGGGGTGGTAATGAAGGATGGGTAAGTTATTGTAGAGTTTGTACAGTGGAAGTGTCAAAGGATTCTGATTTGGGGCACCATGTTTTCAGATCCAATTTTAGGATAATAAGCAGGAAAATAAAGTAAAGGATAAAAGAGCTGGAAGAGATGGGAGGCAGGAGGACCGCATAGGGGACTCAGGGGGGAACCCTGAAGAAGTACTGCATCAATGGAAGAGAACAGGAGGGCTGGAGAGGACGGCTGGACCCCAGCTGGCTCCTGCGCCTGCCTGTTCAATTGTCAGCCCTGGGTTTTCTTATGAGCCTAGCTGCTGCTTATATGTTTTTGTTATTTTTTAAAACAGCTATATTTTGCTTTTTAAAAATAACAGAATGCAAAAACAAACAAACAAAAAACAAAAAAACCTATCCCTCCCATCCTTATCTCTACCTAAGAGGCAGAACTCAATCACTGCAGACCATGCAAAATGTCCCCCATGATTCACAGTCATTCCTGTCGCTAATAAGACACTACTGCGGCAGCAGCCATAGGCTTCACGTGTTATCCTTCTTCACTTCCCCTTCAGTCTCTCCTGGAAGAATATTCCTGGTTTTTCCCTTAAATAATTTGCGTTTCTGTCCTGGAAGAATATTCCTGTTTTCCTCGTATATAATTTAATATTCTATTTAATCGGTGATTGGTTGACTTGGGAAACTCGGTGTGCATCATCTGAGCTCTTCTGGTTTATTTCTTCCTGTGTTAATAACCATGTAACTAACGCTGGATCCCTGCATTGATTTTCTGCCTTTAGACTTTTGTCCAACGAATTACATGTCATATAATTGCTCCTCAGCAAATTTTTTTTTTTTTTTTTGAGACGGAATCTCACTCTGTCTCCCAGGCTGGAGTGCAGTGGTGCGATCTCAGCTCACTGCAACCTCCGCCTCCTGGATTCAAGCCACTTTTCTGCCTCGGCCTCCAAAGTAGCTGGGACTATAGGCATGCGCCACCATGCCTGGCTAACTTTTGTATTTTTAGTAGAGACAGAGTTTCACCATATTGGCCAGGCTGGTCTTGAACTCCTGACCTTGTGATCCACCCACCTCGGCCTCCCAGAGTGCCGGGGGTTACAGGTGTGAGCCACCACGTCTGGCCTGAGCAATTTTTAAAAATAAAATCTTTCAGCAGTTGACTGACTAACAGACATTGCTAATAAAGCAAAATGATCAACTAAAAGATACCTTCAAGGGAATGTGATGGGTTGTGCCTGAGTGACAAGAGAGGGGTGTGAATATGCCTTACAGGAAAGGAAAATCGTGCCTTATCACATTGTTTATTGCCCCCAGAGCTTGATAAATCACACATGAGACCCACTCTGTCCTTCAGAGACAAGACATTTCACTTGCAGACATATCTTTCTTCTTTTCCACTTTTTTATTTCCTTCTCCCCATGGGATCCCAGGCAGCGCACACTGAAGTAACAAAGGACTATCAGGAAAACATCATCTAGGTGGGGTGTATTTGTTTCCATCATTCCTGAGAAGTTCGGGTGAAGGAAGGAGGCAGAACGTGGGCACTGGAAGCAAATCTTCTATTCTTTCCTTCTTTCAATGCATGAACACGTACAGTATCCCTCTGGGCAAGGGAGAGAGACCTCACTTAGTGGTTCATTTAGATTCTGCATGAGAAGGAGATATTGTTTTATTCTTCATTATAAGAGGAGCTATTTCTTCAAATTGACCATTTCCCCGCCTCACTCTTTACAAAAGTAACCTGTTTACAATCTACTCTTGTAGATTACAGTACTTAGTAGAGACAAGTAGGGAGAAATTCAGAGATTGAAAAGCTTTGCGACATCCCACAGAGTTGGAATGCTTTTTTCAAAGGGGAAAAAATCTGCAAATGTGTATGTACTTGCCTATGTACCCAAAAGAGCCAGCTGGACGGCCCATAAACGGCTCCCATTCAGGAACAACAAAAGCCCATGTCAGAAGTCAAGGGACAGGAGGCTGAGAACTAATAATAATTTTGCACTTACGCAGCAGTTTTCATCTGAAGACCTTGGAGTGCTTTATAAACATTAATTAAATCGCCCAACAGCCCCGTGAGATGGCGGTGTATCACTGTTTTCAATGTGCAGGGGATATGGGGAGGAGAAATGGATGCATGGAGTGAAGTTGGAACCAGGCCATGCTACAATGCATGTGGGTTGCAAACTCAGAAAAGGCAGCGGGAACGTCTCCCTTGTGAATCTAGGGCTGTGGTCAGGTGTACGCGGTCCCTGCTGGGCCAAAGAGACGGTCTGGTGACTCCTTCCGCAGCAGGACCCACCTTATTCATGTAGCGAGCCGGCCACCCGCACCTGGGCTTGAAGGATGCCGGCACAATCTCCCCCACGGGCTCATCACCACATGTCAGATTGCCACCATTGCTGACTCATTCCTTTAGTGAGACTTGTGATGGCCAATCGGCTTCACCGCAGGTGTCACCTCTGATTGCTGGTAGGTACAGCCAGGCCGGCTGCCTGGAGGATCACTGTGTCTAGCGTGTCCGGCAGAATAGGCCATGATTGATTAGTGATGCCTGGGAAAAGGTGGTCACTGTAGATTAAATTGTGTCTTGAGAAAAGATATGTGGAAGTCCTAATCCCTGGTACCTGTGACTGTGATCTCATTTGGAAACAAGGCCTTTGCGAACGTGGTCAAGTTAGGATGACATCATTCTGGATTGGGATGGGCGTCCTTATAACAAGAGTGAAATATGGAGACAGACACACAGAGAAGAGAAGGCCTTGTGGAGGCGGAGGCCGAGATTGGAATGATACATCTACAAGCCAAGAAATGTCAAGGACTGCTGGCAACCACTAGAAGCTAAGAGAGGGGCCTGGAACAGATTCAGAGGGAGCATGGCCTTTGCTGCTGACCCTTTGATTTCCAACTTCTGGCCTCCAGCACTAAAGGAGAATACATTCCTGTTGTTCTAAGTCACCCAGTTTCAGGTACTTTGTCATGAAACAAATGTCACAGCCCTAGAAACTAATGTTATGATTTGAATATTGGAAATCATTCAAATGCAGGACTGTTCAAATGATTATTCATTTAAAAACACATCCTACCATTGTGATAACTGAAGGAAGGTTTCCTGGAAGGATTGGGCTGTGACTGTGGTGTGCTCCAGCTGGAGATGAGGTCAGAGTGCAATGGTGGTGACAGGGACATGCCAGCAGTCCTCTAGCATGGCAGGTGGTGATGGTTCTCAGACACTTAGATGTTTTGGCAGGTCAATCCTGTCTTAGCATGTTGAATTGTACTTGTGCAAATGCATTTAACACATTCCATTTCTTAATCCCTACAATAAATCAGAAAATCAAAGAATGCACCCAGAAGCCAATGGTGCTAGATCAAGTGTAGCAAAAGGAAAAAAAAATACTATAGACATTAAGACCCAAAGTCTGGAAATACCATTCATCTGGCATGGGTGAGGCTGCAGACATTCATGGCAAGAGAGTATATGTGGTATTCATCTTTAGTCTTATCCCTTTCAGGATCCTTTTTAAAAAATGCAAACAGTCCCCAGAGGGTACAACACATAAAATGATAGAATGATGACTTACATACTGGTGTGAAAAAAAAAAAAAGTCTTTGGAGTCACTCAATGTGAATTAGAAACGAGGTGACTCAATTTACTCATCTGGTAAATGGGTATGATATTCTCATAGATTTGTTGTGAGAACTAAATGCATTGCTATATGTGTGACGGTGTGGGGTACAGTATGTGTTAAATTATCAGTAGCATTTGCTTCCGCTCAATAAGTAGTTTTCTTCTTTTGGAGAGTGGCAGCTGATGATACAGGCACGGCAAGCTGGCGTAGGGCCAGAAGGTGAGGCTGGGGGAGATGGCGCCATTGAAGGAGGCTGCACAACTGAGGCTGCCATTTGACTGTGGCTTGGGGAGAAGTTGCTTCCTACCCTGCGTGGCTTTAGTTAGCCCCTCCCAGCGTCTCCCTGGGAAGACTCTCCTTGTCTAGGGTCACCGCCTCCCTCCCGCCAGAGCTCGCGGCTGCAGTAGCAGCCTCTCCACAGTGGGCCAACAGTGGGCAGTGGGGCTTCTTCCTTCTCTCCCTCTTCTCTCCGAGGCAGGGTTCATCTCGGGGGGAACCAGAGGTGGGGAGCAACAGGGAGGCAGCTCAAGCTGTGGATGGATCCTCTTCACAGGCCAGAGCCACTCAGGACAAAAAAAGGAAGAAATCGCTCTGCTCAGACTGGGCCAAACAAAGCCTCAGCTGAACCCAAGGGAGGCGAAACCAGCAACCTTACTTTCTTTCAAAGTGATTTGTGGGCTGTGCACAGTGGCTCAGTCTTGTAATCCCAGCACTTTGGGAGGCCGAGGTGGGAGGATCACTTGAGGCCCGGAGTTCAAGACCAGCCTGGGCAATATGGCGAGATGCCATCTCTACAAATAATAATAAAAAAAATTAGCTAGGTGTGGTGGTGCACATCGGTAGCCCCAGCTACTTGGGAGGCTGAGGCAGGAAGATCCCTTGAGCCTGGGAGGTTGGGGCTACAGGGAGCCCCAACAGTAACAATCATAGTGAACTATGATCATACCACTGCACTCCAGCTGAGTGACAGAGCGAGAACACTGTCTAAAAAAAAGTGACCTCTGAACCCCCATTATATTTTTCAACCCGAATTTACCCGGACAGAAATGATCTTTGCCAACTAACTCATTATGTTTTCATTTATTAAAACAAATCCTAGCTTTGCGCAGCGGCAGTGTAGCCAATGAGGTTTATCCGAGGCGCAATTATTGCTAATTGAAAACCTTTTCCCAATACCCTGCCATGACGACTTGAAATATAGTCAGCATTGGCAATTTTTGACAGACTCTACGGAGACTGAATAAAAAGAAAAAGAAAAAGAAAATGAGACAAATCTTAACAAGTTTTGAGTATAACTTTATTTCTCCAGGCCCTTCATGACCAAGGACATGAGTAACAACCCGGATAAAAATAAAACTACCCTTCACGCCGCATTTACTCACCAAACAGAGCTGGTACCCTGCGGCACAGGCCCCCTTCCCCTGGGCCGCAGTGGCTCCCCATGGCCCTTGGCCGCGGTGGGTGAGGTCTTCCTGGACCGGCCACTGCTGCTCTCTGTGCTGCCACCTGGTGGACCGACTCCGCAACTGCTTCCCCCACTCCTGCTCAGGCTGCAAGAGGCTGAATTGCTGCTCTCAAGGCTGCAGCCGCTGGACCCCTGGGAGGCGGAAAGGCCTCTCTTGTCAATAGAACCTCCCTACATAATAAGCTAGCTTCTTGTTGTTGCTTTCAGTTCCTGGAATTGGGACGTTTTCCACCACCCCAGTGCCCCCTTCGAAAACATCTTGCCCCCAACATTAGCCAAAAACCACAGCAGAGTCCAGACACAGCGGTTGTCACTGCAGGAAGATGCCCTGCCCACATGGGACTTTGCAGGTTGTGCAGCCTTTCTCTGTCATTTTTGTGACTCTTCAGCCCGGGACGGGCCTGACCCATCAGGTTCAGTCTCTCGATAATCTTCCCTAGGAAGCCTGTGGAGGTTGGTAGCTGTATAGCTTAGATTTGGGGTGGTAGTGTAGCAGGGGAGGGGGCATCTGTAATTTCAAATTTTCTTTCCCACTGCATGAGTCTTTTTGTTCCAGTAACCAGGTCAGCCTATTTTCTGCTCATGCGCACTAGAATTCCTGATGAGACCATCGCTTGGGGGTTTTCATTCTCTCAGGCTCCTATAACCTCCCTTTCCCACAAGGATGTGTGAGCAAGTGTCCAGCCACCTCCTTCAGATTCAGTCTTTGCATGTCCTTTATGGCCCTCCTGAGAGCTAGTTGAGAATAGCAGCAGGTCGGCTGGGATGCAGCCCAGTAGGCCCGCTTTCATGGTTGCCCTGGTCCTCAGGACGGGGTAGGAGCAGAGAAGAGAGGAGAGAGGAAGAGACGTGCCTTAGTTCCCTCTTCTCCTCTCTGCCTCCTTCCCTAAATCATGTGAGCTGGAAATGGGATGCTCTCACCTGGCTCCTTTACTGTCATAAAAATCCCATTGTCCCCAGTACCAGATGCTTAGTAAAAAGAAGTCCAGGTTGAGGTCAAGCCTCAATCGTGTGATGTATAGGAAGCAAGAGCAGCCTGGCGGTTCTGGGCACAGAAAAGGGATTGGTTCAGAGAAGGAGAGAAGAGGGCCTATGTGGCAGGTCTTCGCTGGGGAAACGGCACGATACACACGTGGGGAGTGTGGGCAGCGTGGGCTTTGCACCAGGCACTTTGCATCTATTAGATTTTCCCACTTTATGGATTAGGTAACTGAACCTCAGAGAGGTCAGGTAATGTCCCAAGGCCCATGGCTAATGTGTGGAGCCAGGATCCAGACTCAGTTCTGCAGCTTCTATTTGATTTCCATGCTCTGGCTTTTTTTTTTTTTAAACGGAGCCTTGCTCTGTTGCCCAGGCTAGAGTGCAGTGGCGCAATCTCGGCTCACTACAACCTCCATCTCCTAGGTTCAAGCAATTCTTCTCCCTCAGCCTCCTGAGTAGCTGGGGTTATAGGCGCCCACCACCACGCCCGGCTAATTTTTGTATTTTTAGTACAGACAGGGTTTTACCATCTTGGCCAAGCTGGTCTCGAACTCCTAACCTCATCATCCACCTACCTTAGCCTCCAAAGTGCTAGGATTACAGGCGTGAGCCACCGTGTCCAGCCCATGCTCTGGCTCTTACCACAAAACCCTCCTGGTACTGGAGGAAGAATGCACATGGCCCTGGGAACATGTGTGCAGAAGAAGCCTGGCCACCTTCTCCCGAGTACTGCCCCTCTGTACCTCTGATCCTGTTACCATTGGTATGCTTTCAAACCAAATATTTGCAGTCATCTTTAAGGTGGCAGAGATGGCACCAGTGTGCCAATATCTGGAAGGACTCAGGCTGCGTGACTGCTGGCACAGAATCCAGGCTCGGCCCGTGTCCATTGCAGACCTCAGATGGCCTGGATCAGATGCTCTTGGCAGGGAAGAGCCTGAGCAAAATGGCAACCAGGCCCAAGAGATTCCCCTGAGACACAGCCATGAGTTCTGTCTCTGTGGGAAGGCCGATTTGTGTAGCAAGCCCGTGGGGAGTAGATAAGCCAGTCTGACAAGTGACCTTGAAAGAATTACAGCAATAATATTTTCAGTTGGTTGGGCCAATCTTGGCCAATTTCTCCAGAGGGTTAGGTGCGAACGGCAGTCTGAGGCTCCACATTGCTCGTGCATGTGTTTGCGTGTCCCCTTCGCTGTTTTAAGTGTTTATCCTGTGGCTTGTACAAGCGACATCGCTCTCTTCCCTGGTGAGAGCCAGCCTCCAGGTCCCCCTCCCCAACTCTGCTCGGAGTGCAGCGAAGCAGGGAGGACAAGGATCTTCTTCCAAGCCCACTGAGCAAGCGCTAGCATTTAGTGACCTTCTGCACCAATAATTCTGTCCTTCGGGGATTGCAATTGATTTTCCTCCTTTCTGTGTGTGAGCACAACCCGAGTGCACAGCTCTGTTACAAGTGCTGATCTCAGGTGTGTCTTTAAAGGTAAACAGCAGCACTCTTGAAAAGAGAAACGACAAAAGTTGTTTCCAGAGCCTTTGTGAATGGACAGGATGTCTGCTTAAATTTCCAAAGGCTGGTTTTTAATTTGTCTGTGCCCTTTTGTGTGTATGTGCATACGTGTGTGTGTGTGTGTGTGTGTGTGTGTACGCGCGCGCCTGTGTGTGTTGGGGTGAGGTGTGATGTCCAAAGCTGTAAGTGAACACATGTAAAACTGTTTAAATTTCTTCCCACGAAGCTGGACCAAGAGTGGGGTGTTTGTCTCTGGCACGAGATTTAAGAAGGTGTCCAAAGAGTCAGTACTCAAGATTAAAATGTTTTCATGGTATATTTTTTAAAAATCCAAATGAATGCAATGATGAACAAAACCTGCAGATTTTAAATAAATAAACAACCAGCATTACTGATTTTTTTTTCTTTCGCTTCTGACTCCAGAATGGCTTGACAGGACACCTTTGTGTATAAAATGTTGATATTTTGTTCACCATGGATTTTTCTATGTTCAATTTTGGGAATATTGGAAATATTCTAACTATTTAGAAATATTGGAAATATTTTATATCTTGATCACTGAGTTTTCAGGGACCCCTCATGATTTGCCTCCCAGGTGAATTGCCTCTTCCTGGTCCCAGCCTTCTTGAAGCATTGCCTGTGTAAATCCAGGGGCAGGACTGATGTTGAGACTGGCTAAAGACACTTGCTCCATTTATTTCCCACTAGTCGAAAGGAGTTATTGAAGTATTCCTCTAGGCAGTAAGTGTTGAAGCCCAAATGGGATTCATAGTTTGTCATTTGCTCTGTCACAGCTAAAGTCATTATCAGAGCAAAGCAGAAGTAGTAAAGGAGCCTTAGTTCTCTTGGGGAGAGTTTTGTAGACTATGATGGTCCAGGAGCTGCCCAAGCCGTGAGAAGATACGGTGAGGGTTGAGGTAGGGACACAAGTGTAATTCTGATGCCCAGTCCTTGCTGACGAGGTTTGTAGAGGAGCCTCAACCTCATCTCCCGCCTTGTCCAGCTCATAGTACACGCTTGGCTGTGTGCCCAGTGTACCCCCACGTCCCTCCCATATACAAATCCTCATCCCCGGTGTGTCCCCAGCAACAGGCTGTGCAGGTGTGATGTTCGTAGCTGCCCTTTGAGGATGCAGACGGGTGGCGGCTGGTGTCTCTGGAAAAGCTAGCGATTTTATAATCACAAAACTGACCTCTACGCCACAGCTTCACTGCACGCTGGAGTATTTTCCGGCAGCTCCTTCTAACCCAAAATGAGATTACATTTCCTGGCGAGAAATGGGCAGCTGGTTGAAAATCTCACAGCAACCACACGGCTCAAACTGCAGTGTTTCTTTACATTCAGTCACCCAGGTCTTTCTGGGTCTATTAACTGGCAAGGTTAAAGAGGCAATAATGGGAGTGTGGGTCCTACCCTTTGAACTGAGAGGTCAGTGAGAGATGGTCTGACGCTGTTAGTTTTAACTTTGCTGTGCATCTTCTCCACCTCAAACCTATTCTCCCTTTCTTCAGGAGCTGCTGTCCTCATCTGGGCCCAACCAATCTTTCCCAAGGTTATCTCCTTCATCATTTAGAGCCCCTCTGCTGCCAGGGCGATCCTGTTCCAGTACTGGGTTGGCCAAGCCCTCTAATTGTTTTAGAGCCTTCTCGCCTCCCACCCACTGGGGCTCTGTCCACCCCCCTGCTCAGGGCTCACGCTCTCCCTGCCTGGTCGTTTGCAGTTGGGTCTCAGCCTCTGTGGCTTTGCACACATAGTAATTCTAGACTCGCTCCAGTTTCCTGCCTGGGGGTGATTGTCTGAGCTCTGCCCTGGCAGTGTGGTGGTGGGATCTTAGGGTCCAGCATGTGGGCTTTTTACTCCTTGTTCTGATGTTGGCGGGGCACCAGCCCCTGCCCTCTGACCTGCCTGGTAGTTTTGAGCCTGGAGCCACTATTGTCCATGTCATCCCCCCAATAAGACCCTTGCATATCCTGGTGGGAGTGAGCATGGGGACCAGTTACCCTGCTGGACAAGCTGGGAAGTCTTACTGCCTCTCTTGTGACATCTAATCAATCTTCCTGATTGAGTCAGTGCTCTGCCTCCCACCTTCAATGACACTCCGGCAGGGCCCGTAATTCCTGAATCTGTCTGGGGTTCTAACAGCCGATGAGCTTACTTACCATCGGTAACCCCTTTGTGCAAACACTCTCAGCTCTCTCAGGTTTGCTCACATCCTGGGTCTGACTTCATTTTCCTCTTCTGTAAAATGATAAAAATTTTACATTATTTTGAGTTCTAGTAAAGGAG